ATCTCGCTTCGACGGTGAAATATAACAATAATATATGTTTTTTTTTCAAATTTATTCTATTTTGAAGACCGTTTAATTGATATCAGCGCAATATTTCCAAAAATATTAATTTAACAGCAACCTTAAAATTAAGTCGTGCACTTCGACTTTATAAACATTGAGAGGCCTATATAAAATCAAATTCTAAATATCTCGCTTCGACGATGAAATATAACAATAATATGTTTTTTTTTTCGCAAATTTATTCTATTTTGAAAACCGTTTAGTTGATATCAGCCCAATATTTCCAATAATATTAATTTAACAGCAACCTTAAAATTAAGTCGTGCACATCGGCTTTATAGCCATTGAGAGGCCTATATAAATTCAATTTCTAAATATCTCGCTTCGACGATGAAATATAACAATAATATATGTTTTTTTTACATATTTATTCTATTTTGAAGACCGTTTAGTAGATATTAGCCCAATATTTCCAATAATATAAATTTAATAGCAACCTTAAAATTACGTTGTGCATATCAGCTTTATAGCCATTGAGAGGCCTATATAAATTCAATTTCTAAATATTTCACTTCGACGATAAAATATAACAATAATATATGTTTTTTTCGCAAATTTATTCTATTTTTAAGACCGTTTAGTTTTTATCAGCGCAATATTTCAAACATTATTAATTTAATTGCAATCTTAAAATTTCGTCGTGCACATCAGCTATATAGCCATTGCGAGGCCTATATTTATTGAAATTCTATATATCTCGCTTCGGCAAAGAAATATAACAATAATATATGTTTTTTTCGCAAATTTATTCTATTTTGAGGACCGTTTATTTAATATTAGCCAAATATTTCAAACAATATTAATTTAATTGCATTCTTAAAATTTCGTCGTGCACATCAGCTATATAGCCATTGCGAGGCCTATATTTATTGAAATTCTATATATATCGCTTCAGTAAAGAAATATGACAATAATATATGTTTTTTTCGCAAATTTATTCTATTTTTAAGACCGTTTAGTTGTTATCAGCGCAATATTTCAAACAATATTAATTTAATTGCATTCTTAAAATTACATCGTGCACATCAGCTATATAGCCATTGAGAGGCCTATATTTATTGAAATTCTATATATCTCGCTTCGGCAAAGAAATATAACAATAATATATGTTTTTTTCGCAAATTTATTCTATTTTGAGGACCGTTTAGTTGATATTAGCCAAATATTTCAAACAATATTATTTTAATTGCCAACCTTAAAATTACGTCGTGCACATCAGCTATATAGCCATTGCGAGGCTTATATTAATTGAAATTCTATATATCTCGCTTCGGCAAAGAAATATAACTATAAATATATATATTTTTCGCAATTTATTTCTATTTTTTAGTTGATATCAGCCCAAATTTTCCAACATTATTAATTTAATTCCAACTTGAAATTTAGGTCATGAACATTTGCTTACTGAGCCATTGAGAGGCTTATATTCATTTGATTTCTAATTTTCCCTCTATGGCAAATAATTATAATAGTAATATCTTCAATTTTCACTAGTTTTAGCACTGCTGGAGAGCAAAGTTGTTGGCGATAAATTTCTCGTTCCCTCTCTCTCTCATCACCCAACTATCCAAGCCGACTAATGCATCACGTGGTCAATTTCACTTTTCGTCTCTGTATAGATGCAACACACCGACCTGGTACAAAAGTACATAAACTTGGTCTCGTTATGCCACTGGAGAAAACAAATAAATTCACCCCGGTGCAAAGAACAACAAGCAATTTATCACGCCGGTGGTCTGAAAAAAGTTTTTCAAGTACGTTCGCCGCAACATCTTTCATGCACTATCGCACCCCAACATCCATCAGTTTTTTTTTCTCGGTTACAACAATGGGTATATTTTGTGTTTGCGATAGGTTGTACAATATGAATGTATACCTGTGTGCGCTTACCGAGTTTTCTTCACTCTTTTCAGTCTGATTACCCTCCCGCAGAAATTTCGTCAGCAATTTTCCGGCGACGGATTTATTTGAAAAATGCCACTACCAGCATCGCCCGCCAGCCTTTCTCCGGAGAAACCAACTCGGTCCTTAACTCTTTTTTTGCGTCGAGCGAGAGAGCGGGTGGCTTTTTGTTTTCCCCGCTGGATCGAGGGAGTCGCTCTCGCTGGCAGCCCCTTTATAAATCTTGTGAGAACTTGAACGGCTGATATTCTTGCACACAGAGAGAGAGAGAAAGAACACAATGGCCGCTTTAATTAAATAGCAGATGTATGAGAGAGAGCGCGGAGCTAGTAAAAGGCGGAAAGGACAGACCGAGAAAGAGTAAGTTGGTTCGCACAAGAGCAGGACAGAGACGCCGAGTCTGCGGATTAGCTGCGCGAGAAGCGGGCGTTCTATCTTTTAACTTCTGCCACTGACACTACTGACACACGCAGTTTTACATCTGTGTAAAGGGCACGTTAGTTATTATATTTACCATCGGAAACTTTCAAATTAAATAAAATCGTGGTTAGAGCAATAAAATATGCGTTTTTTTAATGCGCTTTTTATTCTTTCAGAACTTCATTTGATGTGCATGATTTCAGAACACACTGGAATTCAAATTTCCTCTCAATACCAAACGGTAGTTGAACTAGTTTCCTGCATTTGTATGCATTTTACGTCCTGTTGGCAATTAAATTTCTACGTACGTTTTTTTCAATGACGTCAGCACTTTTCCAGTTAATTAACGTATTGTGAAATTGATGGCGCCGCTCCGATCTCTTTTTGTGAAACGGGTTTCTAATTGAAAAAAGAAGTATTCCGCCTTTATAAAAAAAATATTTACAATATGTCATGGTAGCGCATAAGAAGAACGCGAGAAAGAAAAGGGCTGCGATTATGATTTTTACGATTCACATGAAGTGATAAGCTTATTTGGATGAAGCAGCGCAAATTTCTTTATTTAATGTTGATTAATTCTTTAGTATGTACCACTCTCTCACAAGTAAAATGAATTGAATTTAATTAATTTTATTTTTTATATTTCCTCTCAATACACAGCCTTGAACAAACTAGTTTCCATATTTTAATTGCACTGGCTTTTTCCATATCCTGTTCATAAAATTTCCATGACATTTTTAATTTTCGTTTTCAAAATTCAACATTCAGTTCACATATCAATCTGTGAGACGAAATGAGGTTGTCAACTGTGTTATTCCTAGCATGCTTCACCCTCTTGGTACAAATTTTCCATTTCTCTTAAGTGATATTGTCCACTTCGTCAAATTAAATCACAGATGTTTCATTTTTTGGAGGGCCGTAAACTCCAAAAGAAGAAAAGTGAGGACTTGAGAAAAATTATTTAAAGAATTGATTAGAATTTTTTTACACAGCAAGGAAAACATTACGAAGGAAGATGATTATTATAAAATGCTGCGGTGCAATAAGATGCACTGCTGGTAAAATTGTTTTTAATTCAACTCGCAAAACAAAAGCATCCACGGCAAAAACATTTCCGCAAAATTACCAAACCAGCTCAAGCTTAGCAGATGACTCAAATTTGGCTTCACCTCCAATTGCTCCAAATGAAAAAACGGCAAGTGGCAGTGATTTGCAACCAGCCACTGGCGGACTGGAAATCAGTGGGGACCCAACTAGTATTACCGAGGGCACGCAATTGCTACCATCAACTCAAGAAAGTAGCTCATTTCCATCTCCAATTGCTGGAAATTCAAACGCAATTGGTTGGATTTGAATTTTTTTTTTAAAATATACTTTTTAATTTAAAATTAGAAAATATGAATTTATTGCACGATCAAGATATGTTTGTTTCTAAGTTTCAGATGAACTTGCCACTAATAATGAAATTACGGAATCTCCTACCGTGACAACTTATTCTATAACGAACGTGATAGACTTTGGCCAGACAAGTCAATCCTTTGTGACTCAGTTGTCATCAACTTTAACACCTTCCTGGACAGCATTATCAATAATAACGCCATCCTCCACTGACGCACGTTCATTTCCAACCAACTTACTTTCAGCTTCAACCACTTCAACACAAATTCCGACGACAAAAACATTAGGACCGGTGGATATAATTTTCATAATTGTAATCCTAAAATATATGAAATATATAATTAAAATTTAGCCTACATGTGGTCAAATATGCGGAAATTTTAAATGCGAATTTTTGGTTTGTTAATTTTATAGTTTATAAATATTATATGAGTATTAATGAAAAAAATTTAAAGACAGATGAGGTACAAAAAATGCAAAACGGGCAAAGTATTGCTTTATTTTTTAATTAATTAACATTAAAGGTAAAAATATTTTATAACAATTAGATTATGTAGCAGGAAACTTCCTAAAGTCTTGCGGCAGAAAGTATTTCATAAGCGGCAAAAAAGTGAGCTTTTGAGAGTACACATTTATGTATTTTGAATTCAAAATATTAGGCGACACTGGCAGATGCCAGGGCGTCCTGTTGTGCTCACAAAATGCAATTGCTGAGCGTCAGATCTGCCGATGAGCACAAATGTGTTCAATTATTAAACAGTATAATTTTTCCCAATATTAAAATTATTTTTTCTATAATTTTTTTGAACAGGCAATTTAAAAGTATCCGCAATATCTTATTGGACGAGTGGCTTCAGCGACTCCAATTGTGGTCTTTGGTGTTTTAATGGAAACAGCACGTTTGCTAAAGACATGTTCTGGCTTCGGAATAAACCAATTGATGCCGTCTATGAAAAATGCGTTGCTTTCGAAATGAATTTAGGGACCAATAAAAGTGGCCTCGTGTTGGCAGATTGCAGAGCATCTAATTACTATATTTGTGAAGTAATGAAAAAATTCAATTCAATCCATAGCTCCATGCATTCAATAATAAAAATTAAAATGAATTCCAGACCGCCGAGATCTCATGTCCGACGGAGACAACAGAGAAAAACGCAAGCAATAACTTTATGTAATTTTTGAAAATAATGCGATTTAAATCTATAAATCAGAGGTCAATTTTCAACTCTGGGGGTCATTTAATTGGTATCAAATTAATTTAAAAAAAGTAATTTCATATAGTTAATTTATTTGATTAAATAACAGATTCCACAATTTATGGCACTTGGATTAACTCGGAAAAATCAACATTCTTTCTTGGAAAGGCGTTAGTAAGTAACAAAAATAACATTAGCCAATTTTGTTGGACCTTTATGTAAGGTCACATGGCGTGAAAGCTTCACTCAGTGTGCACAATTTGGTTTGAGTCCTCTTTCGCTGGAATCGATTGATGATTTTGACACTTTAAATAATTCGATGAAAAGTGAGATACATGTAAAAAGAACTTTAAATTTCAATTCATAATACAATCACAGGTTGGAGGTCATACCTGAGATTTTGGACTTTGGGCACAAGGAGCGACTTCTCTAGTTTAAGTCCTCTTTGGTGCAATACCAGGGCTGCAGTACCTAGTTGGCCGACGGAAATTATCAACCTTAGCAACAAAACGCTCAACGGATTATTTGATTGCATCGTTTTTAGAGCTAATAAAAGCATGTCCAATATTACAGTGCAATATTTCCCGCTGCTTGCACTTGCAAACTGCAGCCAAAAGTATGGGCTGGCGTGCAAAGTACCGAATTAGAAATAAATTGTTTCTTCAAAAATTAAAATTTAAAAACATTTAAGGGGCCGCTCACTCCCAAGCCTTCTATTCGAGAAAGATGTCCTTTGCAGCTATTAAAAAATGTGAATTTATTGTATTCAAATTAAATTTTCTGTATAGATTATTCTGCAGGCGTCACTCTATGAAAACAACACTGGGACTCTGAAATGTATAATGTATTAATTTATTTTGTTTTGGATCAGAAATTAACTTCCTATCTATAATTAGATGCTGGTAATTACGGTAGATGGGTGCAGAAGTGCGACAAATTTTATGTTTTCAGCTTTGTAACAAAAAACTTCACGGTAAACCTAATTAAACAATTATTCTTTTGTCCAATTTCAAAATCGTCAGCAATCTCTCTCATGGGATGCAGCGAAAGCCTCATGTGAAAACATTGGATACAAACTGTTTACAATTGACACTATATTAGATCCAAAGATGACCTGCGTCAAGGACTTTTTCAAAGACAATCCACTGTCTTATAATAGGAATCACTGGATATCTGGAATGTTCTTGGACTCTCCAGAAAAAATGAAATACATGTGGTGCTCGAATTATGAAACGGTGAATTTGAATTCAAGCTACTGGGGCGTTGGGAATCCACCGACCGCAAAAGAGGACACATGTCTCAGCATTGTTTTTCTCCCAAATAGAGACCCGTATGTCGAGGCAATACCGTGCAAATCAAATTTGTCCTACATCTGCGAAGTAAAAAAATATTTTTCAAGGAATCTAGAAATAATTTCAATTAATTTCCAGGCCGACGACATGAAATCCACCACTTTTGCTCTATCCAAAAACGCCGAATGCAAGAAATTATTTAATGTCACTGATGGTGTTTAAAAAATCATTCCAAATTACATGAATAAAACAAAAAATTATTTCTCAGCTGACATTGATAATGTCCTCCTCAATTTAAATTATACACTTAATATGAAGGTAATTTTTCTTCTTTCTCTTTGTATTTAATTCAATTGCATTTATTTTTGTTAGTGTTACTTCAAATGCATGGGAGAGAGCTTAAAACTTGTTAGTTAATGAAATTTGGAAATGTTAATTTTTTATAATATAATTTGTCATAAGGTGAGCCTAAATGGCATTTTCATGGACGACGCCTTTTACAGACTCATTGAAAGCGTTTTGGACGCGGACGATGATACTACGGGGAGCTACGACAGTTTCAAAACTTGCCAGGATGGCGTGGCAGCACAAAAGGGTTGCGAGGCATTAGCAAGTTTTTTTAAATGCAGCGTGCAAAAGGCGCCAGCGATTGTTGCAAAAATTGTGAAGGAAAGCGCTTCAGATCCAACAGTGAATTTTGAATATGAGAAATGTTATTAAAATGGTAAAATTTGATTTTTAAATTTGTAGAGCAAAAATCCAGTTTCCTGCCTGCAATCTAATTGTTCAACATTTGATGATGCATATAAATGCACAGTAAATGTAAGTTAAATTAAAAATACTAAATTCTTTTTAACTCTGAAGTATTGGATAGCAAACAGCAATCGCTATGCTCACCAATGGCGTTGGTAAAATTGAGGTTGTCCATAATGGAATAAAATTAAAAAATTTACCATATAGATCCAGGCGGATTTCAGTATTTGGTAAATGCATGTGGCCGACGTTATGCATTGTCTCGTTCCTTTGTAAGTTTGTAGCTTCCGCTTGATGAAATATTTTTCTCAATACATTATTTTCTAGGAATTAACTTTTCAGTCGGTTATTCAAAAATGTTGTGAAGTCAACATGACTCTTGCATATTTTGACACATTTGAAGATTTTAAATGTTTCCTAGCGGCCGATACTGGTATATTTTTATACAAAAATCAGCAAATCTTCTAGAAAAAAAATACTTCAGCTCTAGGCATATCTAAATCGCCAGGTGGGTATATCATAGCCGCGACCAACATTGACTGTTCCCCTATGCACGCGTGGTGCCCTGGGAAAAATCCGGTTGAAAGATTTCTGTGGAAAAGTCGGCCTTCCTTTGATCCTCAAACTTATCGATGTGTTAAGGTTATGAAGGACACGAGTGATTCGACTTTATTGAAGATTGAGCTCGAGGAAGCACCTTGCTCAGGAAGCTCATCATATATTTGCGTGTCAAAGTAAACCACAACCACTGAAAAATGAAAAATTGTTTGGAATTTGAAGTTTTATGTTCACAACTCGATTTTCTTGGCTGATTTCAAGTTTGTAGCTGATAAAATAGGAAATGAGATGCCATAAAAACTGATTAACAAAAATTTTACAGACAGAATCAATTTTAAATTTTTATGCATAATTAGAATGAGATTAATTTCAATCGATAAAATAAAAATAATATTCTATTGGTACCATATATACTAGTATTTTGCTTAAAACTAGGACTCATACATATTTACAATAATTTTTGAGCATTCAAATTTCAAGGATGTTATAAAATTATTCCAAATTTGCACAGATCTCTTGGAAAAGTTTGAGATAAATTTTAGGAACATATAATAAATTTTAAATATTTAAGCATTAAAGGTTTTTTTCCAAAGTGAAAATAAATTTTGATTCACAACAACTTTTTATTGATTTTCCCCATTATTTTCATCCCTGAAAGATAATTGGCATAGAAGAGAAAAGTTTTCTTCTGTTCAGACGAAGAAAAAGAAAGCTTCATAGAGAGTGAGCCTGTCCGGTGTATTAATACAAACAGCCGTGGTCGCAGAAAACCTCTATAATGAGGGCTTTGCAGTGAATAGCACGTCATTAAAATTAACTCGTCAAGCGTCCGTGTGCAGGAAAAGTTGTAGGAGGCCGAGCTGCTTTTCAGGTACACTGACTGCAGCTCTCACACACACACGCTGCACAAAGAAGTGGCATCGTTACCTGCTGGCGAATCAATATTCATCCCTCCCTCGACGAGAGCTGCACTACTTTCCCAAGTTTGCATCCCCCACGTGTGTGTGTCAGTCGGTTATACGAAAAGGAGAGTTTGGCAAAAATCTGGCTGCTTCATTGGAAAGAGATTTACGGCCGAAAATAGTTTTCAAATTTATTGCCGTGCGCACCTCGGCGGATATTTTATTATTATTCCGCGCGGCGGACGGACTAACGAACCAACCCGCAACTCTCAAAAGTATGGTGTGTGTGCAGGGTGAAAATTAATTTCTCGCGCGGCTCCCCAAAGTGCGTGTGTATTCGCATACCGGTGCGGTGTTTTGCCCAATCAGGGAGGTACACGAAAATTAGATTCTCGCGGCTGGAATTTGCCGAGTAAACCAATTCGCCGGCAATTGCCGCCCACGCGAATTTAAGACACATGGGGCTCGTGCGTCACCCCCGCATACCCGGCGCCTCACTTGTTTATCGGTATGCAAAATACGCCCCGAGCACAACAGATCGCGGGTTAATTAGTTTTGCGGATGTTCACATTTTTAGTCTCGTATATATTTATTATTACACTTCAATTTCTCCTGGAAGATGTCCTTAAGAAAATAAAAATTAATTGAATGGAAATAAAACAGTTGAGTAAAAGGTGATATGAAGAAATACAGTCTAAATTTAAGGGAAATTATTGATTGAATAATAAAAAGTTTTTTAATCCTTAGTTGATATTAAATATTAATTATTGTTCCTTAAAAAATCAATCATTCAAAAATATTGTTACGTATTGGCATAAGTATTGTTTCTAAATTCAAATTTACATCTTGATTAAATTTAAATTTAATAATTAATAAATTTACATTTAATAATTATTAAATTTACAAACTGCTCTCCCCTTAGAATTTAAATTTTTTCTCTCTTCCTTGTTTAAAGTTGTTAATGCATTGCAAATTAACTTTTATTATTAGAACAAATTAATTTAAAAAGTTTTAAAATAAAATTATTGTAGGAAAATTTTATTTTACATATTAAGATTGCTAATTTTTTTTTATGAACTTGAAAATTTAATACGTCTTGCTATACTTACATCACCTATAACCGAATTTCAATTCACAGCAATTCATATCAACAAAATATAATTTTACAGATTTCACAAATTCATAGACTGTAATAATATTGTGGAAATTCTGTTTATATTTCAGTTGAATAGACATATACACACAACAATTATTGTTTTTGCTTTGAAATTTGTTTGCTTAATGTTAAACAAACGAAGGCTAAATGTAATGTAAATTTATGGAGCTCTTCTGTGTGAATGTTTTTCCACTACATAATTATTCGTGAATACCTGAGCAAAACTTTCTCAACTTTGCCAAATTAACCACACAAGCCCGATCTGCGCGGAAATTTATCCCAGTGAACCGAATCGGATCTGCTACTTTGGAGGAGACTCCGGTCGTCCCGAGAGTGCCATTAGCATAAAATAACTAAGGTGCAAGACGATTGCATTGGGGACGAGTGAAGGTTGGTGCAGAAGCGATCCGGCCGATGTGCTTCTCCGCCATTAAGTTAATTAATTAGCAAGCAGGTCTCCTACGGCCGCCACAGGTGCCCGTCTCTCTGCTCGCTAATGAATACAAATTCGCTCGCTCTCAGGACGTGATCTCCGTTTTGGCATGAAAGGGCGCCGCGCCTCGCTCCTTTGGCCAATCGCGGAAAAATTACTCTTTCTCTCTCTCTGGAGGCAGACAGCGAGGCAAATTGCTTTCTCCTCGCTCACTCTCTCACGTTATTTGTCTGCAGCGCGGGGCGAATTACAAAATGAAATGAATCACTCCCCAGATGCCTCTTCACCTGTGCCCCACGTGATGCCAACTCATTTTTCTGCGCTGCCTCTGCAAGTTTCAGTTTGGCCTCGAGGCGTGTCTTGTCAGAGAGTGGCTTCAACACCCTACGCTGAATTAAATTCAGCGTTGGAAATTCGTAAAAACTTAATCTTGACTTTTTCTTACGTTAATTCAATCTCATATTTGCAATTTTTATTTTAATTTTATCATGCTGGATATTAATTTGCAAAAGGCTTAAGTGTTCGAACTGTTAATTTCTTTTTTATCAGTTTTTTATAATATGCATTTTTTAAATTAATTTTCCTATATAACTATTTCAAAAGTTAAAAACCAAGATAAAGGTTTATCAAATTTGAGATTCTTGGCGATACTAAATTAGCGACGAGCAAAATTGTGTTCAAATTAATAATTACCTGGTGCCGCGGCTGGAACGATGGTCATCTTGAGAACGGCCTCTGCTTTTGTCGCTGCTCCGGGACTGACCCTGCTGATTTTTTAGAAAAATTTTATTCTGAGATCGAGATTTCTCAGATTTTGGATCTGACACTCAAAATCACAACATCACCTGTCTCTTTTTAAACAATCACTGACTCCACTCCCTCAATCCTCATTTTCTAATTTTTTTAATTGGCACCGATCACGATTCTCGATAAAATTGAACTGAATGCTTTTCAATTTTCCTTCCTCCTCTCGCGACACATCTCTCGGCGCCGTCCAGACCAGTCCAGACTTGTTCGCTGTCGTCTTCCATGGGATGAGCAGCAGCAGCCACCAAGCTTGCCTCGCCCCCTCCCCCTCGCTGGCCTCACACTCACAATCAGTCCAAGGTCCAAGATTGATGGTCGTGTATGTGATGTGTGTGGTGAATTCTTTGACTCTCTAGACTTGTTTCTGTGATATTTTCGGCTTAAAATTACAACTTTTACATTTCGGCATCGCGTTTTTGGGTCGCAATTTTTCATCAAAGCTTGCAGAGGCCCGAAAGTTTCGGCAGACCGGCGAAAACACAGTCCCGAAGCGATCGATCAAAATTAGCAAAATCTCACATGATTTTGAGGTATGCATACAGATTTATGTACATAATATTATTATGCAAACCTTAATTATGCATACATTTAAATATATATCCTCGACGATTTTTAGAGTAGAAAAGCGAATCTTTTCTAATTTCTATTTTCCAGTGCAAGGAAAGCTTCCCTCTGAAAATCCAAATTCCGTGGATGATGTCGGAGGATAGAAGTGTATAACAAAGGCGGCCAACAATCGGTGCTCGAGACTGCGAGAATCTCTTCATTTTATTTGCCATTGGTATGTTTATTCGTTTAATCTTTCTTCTCATGCATAATCTCTTACTGCCTTATGGGTAGCCACAGGATCGTCGTTAACTTCTTATTTGTTTGGTGAAACTCTAAAATGACAAAATTTTCTGTTTTCCTTAATTTTATTGAACATCTTTATTAAACTATGGTTGCATTTCAGTGGCAGTCTGTTGATCGCAGGATCCACAGCCGAGAAACCAAAATTTAGCCCTGGACCAGTAGGACTTTTTTGAAGACATCCCACCAATCTGGCGGGCAAACCAGTCATCACTATCAAGCAGCTTGAAAGATTTTCACCCTGGTCAAGACCAGTCAGCGCATGACCTTCACTCAAGGTAGGATTTTTGCACTGTTTATACCAAGTGAAGGGGTTTTGCCGCTGACGCCCAAAACAATTCAACATTATTTAACTTAAAAAATTAGGTTCTTTTCTTGTAAGCAGAAAGTTTTAATTGCAAGCGTTCAGCACTGTGAGGGATAAGCTGCATTCTAATGCATAAAATATTTGTTTTAAAGAAGCAAAATGTCACTTTTAATAATGGTCCACAAAGTTTGAGTTAGGAAGTGATAATCACTGGTCGTACGAAGCTGTTGTCCTATGTCAAAATTTAATATTTTAATTTTGTATCTTTCCTACATTTAAACACATAAAAAAATTAAGCTACTTTTAGTGTTTGCAAAGAAAAAAAAATCAATATACATAGTTTTACAATTTTTTTTGTCAAAATCTTTTTTTTTTAATTTTAAGTTTCTAGAATTGAAGGAAATGAGAAATTTTACAAAAAAATAAATGAAAAATAAACCAACTTCGAAGCCTTTGCCTTGTTTGAATATTGAAATTTATTTACGCACTTTATGTTTATGATATGAAATTAAATTGCATTTATAATTGCTTCAGCTTTACATTAATCTGGGAACCAAAGAAAGTAAACAGAGATATTTCACATAAAGCTGGAGATCATTAAATTTTGATTAAACCATCCATAAAAGCCACACTGGCCATTCCGAAGAGCGATATTATTCAGTTTTCAGCTCACATGGCGCACTACAAAAGTGACCATTAATAATTCATGAGGATTGTTTTCCTTTTCTGTCGGCGCTCGAGCGCGAATTCTCATTCAAATGTCCATCAGTTTTACGAGCGTCCATCAACCTGGTACATTTTATGCTGCCGAGCGGGTTGCATACAGCTGCACAGTCCGTGTCCATCTGCCGAGCATAAATCGCAACGCTTTTGCAATTTATTCGCTCGCGCGCGAGGAGCTTTTACACTCGCGACTCCCGTTTATGAATACAAATCATGTTTCCTCCCGTGCAATGGCAAAGTCGCCGCCGCCTGCATGCCAATTTTTTGCAAAAATATTTATTCTCCGTGCGACACAGCAAACAAAACAACATAAGACTTTTTGTTCCTAAGTAGAGGAGAGAGACACGCCAAATTGAAAAATCATCTTGAACTTGAGCCAACAAAGAGAATCTAAGGTTGGAGTATTTTAAACTGTACAGCAATTTCGAACTTTCTGAAGATTTTTATAAAAATTTGTAGAAAATTTCAGTCTCTTGAGAGTTAAATTCGTACGAGGGCGATGAGGAAAGTTTCCAAACAGGGTGGGAACTTTCCAGTTTTCATTGTTGTCCTCCCTCTTCCGTCTAAAATCCATCATCTGATAAATATTTTTTTTTTTCAAAAGAAACACGTACCATGTTTTCAAGGCAAAATCGTGAACAATCGGTCTCGGGAGCTGATTTGTTTGTTGGCCGTAGAATAATTTGCGCGCAGACCAGATAAATCTCGCGGGCGTGGAAGTTGCCAAAAAGAGATAGGGCTGCTGGCCGCGTGCAAAAAACTGCGAGCGGCGAAACGTCGGCGGCGCCGGTCGAGCTGACAATAAATTGTTTGTGCTAATTACAAGCTGTCATTAACATCACATAATTGCGTTCTGTCACCAGCCCGGGACTTAATTGCCGCTTTGTTGGTGCGGCTTTAGCTTTTGATTTACAGAGCGGCTTTTCGGAGGCGGGGGTCCAGTTTAAAAATCTGCAATTAAACGTGATCATTTTCTTTTTTCAACTTCCCACTTGTCGATAGAATTTGGTAGGCCGTGGGAGTAATTAAAATGACCAGAAAATCTAAATTAAATTAATTTGGAAACAAAATTTTCCATAAGAATATCAGTGAAAATCAAAGTGAGAAAAAAAATGAATGTCAACCAAGAAGATTAAAAAATAATAATATAAAATTTAGTAATAGTAATTATATTAATTTTCTTAATATAAAAACCTAATTGGTTTTTTTTTTTTTTTTTTTTTTTTTTTTTTTTTTAATAAAATAAGTTTTATAAATGCGTTTTGATTGTATGTTTCCGGCAAAAGATTAACAAAGAATTGTTAATTGAATAAATATTTAATTTTAAAAGCGGAATAATTAATCATTTCAAAGCTCTCAAAATTAAAATGCGCATATGCCTTTATTTCTCAATTAAATTGCTTGTAACCTACTTTGTTTATAGAAACTTAACGAATTTGAGGGATAAAGGGATAATAATTTCGACTTAATTGTGTAAAAAGTCCGAATGCCAGTTGTTTGTAGAGTAATGGCGCATTCCCAGAGAGAGCCACGGCGAAACATTGTTAAACAAGAATTTACGACTCGTCCGCAGCAATTGCAGGCAAATTAATCGTTTGGCGCGCACAATGTTCACGCGAGAGAAAACGGCGTCTGAAGCACGCGCGAAGGAATTCCAAACGATGAAATTGCTCACTTTGTATTATGGACGCCGGTCCATTCATCGCCATGAAATATCGCCCTGGAAAAGGTACTTTGGAATTGTTGCCTTTGGAGCTTGAAATAAACAAAACAAGTCCAAAATTCGAGTGCGAGTTTAATCATCCTTATTTTTGTGGAAATTCCACCTCCGGCTGCGCGTTCAATTTGCACTTGGCTTAATTGCCGAAGCAAAAGGAAATTGCTCTCTCAGTTATTTGATTAAATTTCCAGCCGTAATTGAACAATTTGGCTGGGCACAATATTATTCTGTGAGGTAATTGCGGCGCATTATCGCTCGCACCACCATCGCTCTCACAATCGACGCAAGATGAGCATGATAAACAAAATGCTAAAGAGAAGCCTCTGCGCTCATCACGATGATTATCAAGTTATCCAACGGTCTCTCTAATTTTTTTTTTGCTGCGGCTAAAGTGTGATGCACAATGGTGTCCTAATGCATTGTGATTGCCGTTGACTGGCTGTTTATACTAAAAATATATACTAAAGCTAGCGGACTGAAAAGGTCGCGACAGTTACTCGATGGGTCTTATGGAGCAATGACATTGATTTTGAAAAATAACGAACTGATTTGTTTTGACTGCACGTCACATTTTTCTTTCCTGACGAAACTGTGACATACGTTTCTAGGCAGCGGGGTGTAAATTATTTTTGATTTTATTTTTAATCTGCTTCAAAATAATACGTTTAAATGGGATTTTTTAAGACTGGAATCAATCTAATTAAAAGAAAATGAGACCTTAAGCGTAATTTGTGTGGACTTGCATTTATCCTTGTCACATTTCTCTTCTTTTTTGCTAAGATTTGTAAAATTTAATTACTAACATCAAGCAAAGATTTTTTTAAATAAATTACATTCCAAGGAAACGATTTGCTTCAAAGAAACATTACCTGGACTTGGTTATAGTTTAAAAGTTCGCATGTTACCTGAAAGGATATTAAGTAATTTCATTAGCTTTTCACAGGTCTATTCACATTTCTTTTCATACAAAGGCAAAAGGTATAATAATTTACCATTTACAAAAATTTGGAAAAAAGTTAAATACAAGAATTTCTCACATTTGCAAAAGGACAGCTTAAGAAACTAATAAACTATTACAAACTTAATTTTCAATTTTATTATCTATTTATTAAACAATTTATTTGCTTGCAAAAATTTTTATTTAATTTTAGTTCAATATTTCTTTTTTATAATTGCTTAAACTTAATTTAAAATGTTTTAAATCATTAAATGTATTTTATGTTCTTACATTTTGATGAAAAATTTGGTGTGAGACTGAAAAGTACAAAAATATTTTTTTTTTATTATTACAAATTTATAATAATTTTTAATGTCAGGAGTTATGGATTATGCCGCAAATTATTACTTAAAATGATTTAAATTGAGCGTTGTTAGTTGATATGGGCAGCGATTGCCTCTGTGATACATAAATCATTAAATATTATTTGCAACTAAAATGATGTCTTGAGAATAGCGCTTTTTGATCAATAACTCCGGATATTTCAAGTGTCCTAAACGTAACTCGGGCAAAGAGAATCGTAACCAATCCAACCAACTAGAGAATGGAATGGTGCAAAGCTGGAAATCCCTTGTAAAAGTTTGATTAAAAGTTAAGAAAGGTATGCAAATGCATCGAGAAGTTTCTGTGCGCCAATCAAAAGTTTGTCCGCCGCAGGATGAAGCCCAAGCTCACTCAATTAGGCACAATAATATCATTCCGCCGGTGAAGTGTCGTCCTCCTCGTTTGCTCGTCTTTGTCAGCAAGATGTGCAGAGAGTTGGTCGGTCTCAAATTGCGGTTGCTTAAAAGTGATTTAATTGCTCTGGTGACAAGAGCGGCGACGAAAAGCCTTGCAAAAAAGTTGGAGTGTATATTTGCGACTTCATAACAATATAATCCTTTGTACAAAACATGAGAAAAGAAACAGACAGTGAGTCGAGTGTGTGTGACTTTGCAGAATTTCCATTTCACTCTTGAATAATTTCATTACACACACAAACTTCTCGTGCCGACAAGCGCTTCATCACAACCACTTATACTGCAAAGAGCAACAAATCGTTTTGTTACTTAAAAACCGGCCAGTGGCGGATGCTGCACAAAAAAATCGATGAAATAATCAGCAAATATTATCAATGCTTGTTCTTGGAAAGAAATTGCCAACAAAAAATACAGGTCCTGGTCTCTTGAAATATCTTAATAGCTTATTGAAAATAACATATAATGTAATTAGATTTAATTCAGTATTGATTATTTTTACAGCAAATTAGCATTAAAATGAACAAAGCGGAAAACGGTTTGTGATCTCTATGAACAAGCTGCTTTTGTTTGATCTTGATCTGCGATGAAATTTTGTACGTTTTTTTTATATGAATTGCGATTAATTCAATTTGTCTCAATTTTAGTATTTTATACCTTATTATTATGTTAATTAAGCTTTTAGAGGCGTTTGGTTTTTTAAAATAAGATAATTTCTCTACAGGAGGGTCTACTTTTTCTTATAAATAAGTTTTATTATTAAATGCTCGATACGCAAAATAATTATTTTATTC